ATCAGGAGAACTATCACATCCTTCAGCTATTCTTCTCCGATAAGAAATATTACCAAAAAATAGTGGATCTCATGCACGAGGTTTGGCAGTACTTCTCAAACATACAACTTATTAATTGTAACAAATTTACAGACTTCTCGCTACACATCTTACGGTCAGTGTATGGACACAGCCTCCAATCCCCCCAACCAAAAGCCACAGTTCCACCTGTTCTCGCAGTTACGGTACGACAGTATAGTTAAATACAAGACGGCCTACTACTCATTCGCCTTACCCGTTAGGCTCGGTATGACATTTTGCCTCATATTTATTAATAGCACACAAAATACTTAATAAGTTTACAAAATGAAAACCTTGTGTTTTAAAACTAAGAATTACTTATAGTTTTGAACAAATTTGAACAAATAATGTGACACAAACTTGCTTGTTTATATTGTTTGAATTCATGTCTCAATAGCGATGTATATGTCATCACTTGATTCAGAAGAAGAGCACAAGACTGCAGAGGAAATACTCCTCAAAATTGGACACTTGTTTCAGGTGCAGGACGACTATCTGGACTGTTATGGAGACCCGGCTATTATCGGCAAAATAGGCACTGATATAGAGGAGGGAAAGTGCAGTTGGCTTATCATATCTGCCTTCAAACTGTGTGATCAGAAACAGAGGGCTATTATTGAGGAGAATTGTGGCGTAAAAGATGGCGATTGTGTCCGAAGAGTGAAAGAAATTTATAACAAACTCAACCTTAAAGACCATTTCAAGAAAGAAGAGGAAAGGCTTTACAAAGAGATTTGTCTTATGATTGAGAACTTGAAAAATAAGAGCCAATTGAGTCCCAAAATATTCATTGAGTTTTTGGAGAAAATTTATAAAAGAGAAAAATAGACACAATTAAGTCATTTCAATTAGGTTTACTAAATTATAATACTTTAGGTTTTATTTGTTTGCCATAACAAAGATATACAAATTACTAGGATAAATAAATACTATTCACTAAAATGATAAAGATTTTGTATTTTATTTTAAAACAAGTTTATAAGTTATAAATTATAACAAAATTATTTATAAATAATCTAATTATTAATTGAAATTAATATTAATAAATGACGTACAGCTAAATAATAACTAATTTTTCCAAAATTATCAAATAAATAGTAAACTCTTGGTTTAAATAAACTCATTAATGATAAAAGGACTGACAGTTTGTGGTTGTGTGAGATGTACGTGATGGTGTCCGTCCACTTGAATAAATTTAAAAGTTCTGCATTTTTTACGATAAAACTCAATGACCTTATCGTTAACTTCTTCAGAGCTAATCTTTAGTCCATTTTTGGCTATAATTATAATGAGATCGCATTTCATGGACGCATAGAAGTCGAGGAGAGATTCACAACTAAATTGCTGAACAAAAATCAATTTAGTTCTGATATCGCGACTGAAATACTCTCCCTTTCCATCCGATGACACCTTTGATCCCCGGCTCAGAAGACACTCAATCGCCTCTTCATTAATATCTTTGTAAATGGCGGTCGAGCAAAAATCAATTTCGTTCTGATATCGCGACTGAAATACTCTCCCTTTCCATCCGATGACACCTTTGATCCCCGGCTCAGAAGACACTCAATCGCCTCTTCATTAATATCTTTGTAAATGGCGGTCGAGCCCTTCATTCTCTCTATCATTGTCTTGTGATCATAAACCGGAGGAATACTATTCTTTTGATCCATTTGGACGAATACTTTGGTAATATCGGCCACCTTTTGGGGCCATTTATCCCATGGATAACAGAATGACTTAATTGTGTCCAATAATATGACTTTTGTGACGGATTGTGGATAAAGACTTGAATATAAGAGACCAATCATTCCTCCCATGGAATGGCCTAATATAGTGAACTCATTCCACTCCATGTAATCGACTATCCGTTTGACTTCTATGAGAAACATGATGTCAGTGTACGGACAGCCGGGTGGCAGATGTGATGACAGTCCGTGTCCCGGAAGATCAACTGCCAAAATGTATAGAGATTCTGGTAGAAGGGGAACGAGTGTATCAAAACTACCGGCGTTGTCCTGCCATCCATGGATTGCCAGCACTTTGTGGCAATGGGAGTCACTATTACCCCAAGCCTTAGCCATAATCCGACCGTAAGGAACCGGTATCTTCATCTCAATGAACTCTTTCGGCATTTTATCAAATTGTTAATTCACGTGTAGTTATGTTAGGAAACTGTATACGATTTAAACTTTATATTATTTAAATACATTATTTACAAAATTGAGTTTTATAGTAATAATATTTAATTTATTTATTGTTTCAATTAAGGTATTCCTAAATAATGTATGCATTTGTATAATAAATATTATATATTTTAGGAAAACAGATTTATTACATTTTTTCCGATTAATTTTGAAATGTTAATAAAATAACAGAATATTAAGTAAAACACATTAAAAATTACATAAAAGGTAAATTAGACAAATATCTATAAATACTGCATATATTATATTAATAATTTATTGTGTACGAGATCATAATTTAAAAGAATTAATTACAAATTGGTAAAAATAAATCAGTTATTCAAAAAAACTGATTTTCTGGCGACTGTCCAAAAACACATAACCATTTATGAAAGTATCTTGAATATATAAATAGCAAACAAATATAAGAAATAAAAAATTATTGTATTAATTAAAATATATTATAAATTATTGGATCCAAGGCTTCAATAAGTTACTCATTTATTATGATTTTGTGTGGAAGTCTGTGTCAGACAATCATTTGTATTCATATGCTATTTGATTAGTTCCTCATTTGTATATCTATGGCTAATACGTTAAATCAAATTCACTTTCATTTATATTTTAATTCACAATAACGTGTAATTTATTTAGAAAATTTGTTTTACTCAATATTTTGAATATGTATACGAAATAAATATTGTGTTGATATTTGATAGTATAAACCAGTATTTAACAAAATTTATGTATAAAATTATAAGTCAGGAATTATATTTTAAGTAAAAATTATCAAATTATAAATCAAATTTGTTAAAAAATATTTTCAAAAATAATTACTTTTATCAACTTTTAAAGACATTGAAATTGTTTTAATTAAATATATTTCCAAAATCAATGTTTACTACATTTGATAAAAATAAATATTTGGGTAAAATAAATCCAAAAATAATTTATTGCTTATTATTTATAAAAACAATACAGGCACAACACCTTTACAAACAATAGTAGTATGTGTTAAAAGACACCTTTATATTAGGGCTGAACACTAGTAACAAATTCAATGAAATAAAACTTCAGAGTTTGTCCAAAAGTTATTAATCAATCCTTACATTTGAATGCAAACCAAAAGAACTTGAAGTCAAGGATATGTTTGTGAAATAAAAAGTGGTTTTTAGTTCAATAACGCATTACTTGATTAAAACGTTTTGTGAATTCAATTGAATACTACTTCGGCTTTTGAAGTGAATGAAGGCTTAGTTTGCTTTCTATGATGAGACTTACAGTATTGAACACAAGTGCTAACTAACAGTATTTTGTCGTCAAAAGATAAAGATTAAACAGATTTGGATACATTTCAAATATTATGTGATATATTATTATTAAGTTAGTATATTATTATACGTTATATATTTAATCTGATGAGTTTTATAATTTTTGAATTTATACAATTTATAAAATTACAAATTAAAGTCTCATATGATTTAGAAAGTATTTTTTGGTAAAATGATTTAAATTCATGTGAAGTGCATTTCTCTCATCAAAAATCACGAGTACTTGTAACTCACAAATGCAAACATTGTTTTCATATAAATTACAAACTAAATGTTGTTTTTGAAAAAAAATCAAAAATAATTTACCTGAAAATTTGACTCAAAAAAACTAGTTTAAACCCATGATTGACAGTCCATGAACTCATATATCCAACCAAATTGTGATCTCTTTTTTCAAAGCTATATCGACTTAAACTTTTAGAGGAATAATGTTTTTTATCGCAAAATTGTATTTTTATATCAAAATGTAATATAAGGAAAGTTTTGTTGATTTAAATTCTTGTGTTGTGATGTCAAGACATTAAAAGCAATTGAAAAGTGAAAAATCCATAATAAATAATAAATAATTATAATTTTTGTCTTAAATTATGAGTGAATTAACAGAAGAGGAAAAGTTTAAAACCAAACACATCGCCGACATAATAGGGGAATGGGGTGTATGGCAAAGGAATCTCTGTATTTATGTGTTTATATTGACCGCAATTCTTGCGTACAATGATCTGGGATTCAGTTTTTTCGCGTATGAACCGGAATACTGGTGCAGTGATGTGCCCATTGCATACCAGGTATATGAATATTAGCAAGATAATTTTGTATTTTATATACCAATATAAGATATTTATATATGAACTTTTTAAAAAATGATAATCAATCAATTTTTATATTGGTACGATGAAAATTACGATGAAAATTGATACTTGTTTATAAATATAAAATAGCTCTTATTTAACAGTTATTAATAATTAATTATTATGATTATAGAAATTTAATATCAGACTTAATACAACTTTTGCCGATATACTTGATTTTACATTTAGATTTTAAAAATAATATATTTTATATTTCTATACCAAAGAACAAGACTGAAGACATGAAATGTCGACAATTTGCAAATTCTAGTGAATTGTGCACTGAATGGAAGTACAATACAAACGAATTTCACAAATCAATTATATCCGAAGTATATATCAATCAAACAATTACTTTTATTAAGGATTTCAAATCAAACGCAAATATAATTACAGTTTAATTTGGTGTGCGATCGGTCTAAGTATGCATCGCTCACACAATCGTTTTATATGTTGGGATACTTAGTGTCGGGACTCATACTGTCTTTCCTTCCCGATAAATACGGCCGAAGACCCCTCTGTTGGATATACTTTTGCATTGAAATCATTTCATTGACAGCCTGTGCCTTATCTGTTAATATACAGCAATATATTATCTTCAGATTGTTTGCCGGCATAGGAGGATGTGGTCGCACCGGGACTATGTGTGTGACTCGTATGTATTAAATTAATAATTTATTATTAGAGTTAATTGAGAGTATTATTGACTATGTATGTCATTGACAATTTTGTGATTAATTATTAGATATAATTTTCTTTGTTGACAAGTGAATCCATTTTTATGAATAGACTCATTTATCAGGGTTCTTTAACATAGACATCCAAATCAATTAAAGTGCCTGTTTGTAACATCTTTATTAGGAATTAGCATTTAATTTAATTAGAAAGCAATTATATTAGTCATATAACAATAAGGCATAACAATAAATTGGATTTTTGGACACTTTAGTTTGTATTATAAACAATATAAAAAGTACTATTTAGCACTCGTATTATACTTTTAAAGCTTAAACACAAAATTATTGTGAAATTTATCTTATTAGAGATATTACGAGTTGGTATTATAAATTATATCATTGTGTTAAGCGACTATAACATATTGTTTAAATATTTAAATTACTTTACTTGCAATTCATTATGCAATGCAAAAGTGGTTTTTACAAAATATTTCATAATTCAAGTTAAATAGAAATTCAATTAAAATTAAATTCATTTTTCTATTTAATTAGTGATGGAAAATTTGGGCCCAAAACACCGGTCCGATATATATCTAATTGGGGGGATGGGATGGCTAATAGGCTACTGTCTAATACCG